GATTTCAGTAAGGCTTTTGACACTGTTGCACATATAAGGCTTATTAATAAACTGCAATCTTTAAGTTTGGATTCCAATATTGTTGAATGGGTAAGGCAGTGGCTGAGTGACAGGCAACAGAGGGTTGTAGTTAATGGAATATATTCGAAGCTTGACTTGTCACCAGTGGGGTACCTCAGGGATCTGTACTTGGACCCATTCTCTTTAATATTTTTATTAGTGATATTGCAGAAGGTCTTGATGGTAAGGTATGTCTTTTTGCTGATGATACTAAGATATGTAACAGGGTTGATGTTCCAGGAGGAATAAGCCAAATGGCAAATGATTAGGTAAACTAGAAAAATGGTCAGAATTGTGGCAACTGACATTTAATGTGGATTAGTGCAAGATAATGCATCTTGGACGTAAAAACCCAAGGGCAGAGTACAGAATATTTAATAGAGTCCTAACCTCAACATATGAGAAAGGGATTTAGGGGTGATTATTTGTGATGACTTAAAGGTAGGCAGACAATGTAATAGAGCAGCAGGAAATGCTAGCAGAATGCTTGGCTGTATAGGGAGAGGTATTAGCAGTAGAAAGAGGAAGTGCTCAAGTGCCATTATACAGAACACTGGTGAGACCTCAATGGAGTATTGTACGTATTGGAGACCGTGATCTTCAGAAGGATATTGATACCTTAGAGGTTCAGAGAAGGGCTACTAAACTGGTTCATGGATCATGGATAAAACTTACCAGGAAAGGTTAAAGGATCTTAACATGTATAGCTTGGAGGAAAGACGAGACAGGGGATATGATAGAAACATTTAAATATATAAAGGAATCAACACAGTAAAGGAGGAGACTATATTTAAAAAAGAAAAACTACCACAACAAGAGGACATAGTCTTAAATTAGAGGGACAAAGGTTTAAAAATAATATCAGGAAGTATTACTTTACTGAGAGGGTAGTGGATGCATGGAATAGCCTTCCAGCTGAAGTGGTAGAGGTTAACACAGTAAAGGGAGTTTAAGCATGCATGGGATAGGCATAAGGCTATCCTAACTATAAGATAAGGCTAGGGACTAATGAAAGTTTTTAGAAAATTGGGCAGACTAGATGGGCCGAATGGTTCTTATCTGCCGTCACATTCTATGTTTCTATGTTTCTATGTTTCTATGGCAGATTGAGGAGCATCATTAATAAGAATTGGCATTTTTTATTAAAAGATCCGGCACTACATAATCTTTTACCTACTCAACCAAAAATTGTCCATAGAGGAGTTCCAAACGTTAAAAATATTTTGACGTTTAAACAAGATAAAAATGACAATAAAACCTTAGGGTCGTTAGAAAAACACGTAGGGTTAAAGAAAGGCTTTTATAATTGTGGGACATGCAATGCGTGTAAAGCCACAGGCTCTCATAGAAATTTTAGAGATCAATTTATGTCACCGACTAAAACCTATATGATAAAGGAATGTATAACCTGCCACACTAGTAATGTAATCTATATGCTTGTCTGCCCCTGCGGATTAAGCTATATAGGTCGCACTACACGCCAGTTACATACTAGAGTAGGGGAGCACGTATATAATATCCGTAAGGGTTTTGCATTGCATCAGGTATCTTTACATTTTAAAGAACATCACAAGAGTGACCCATCTGGTCTATCATTCGTTGGAATACAGAAAGCACTTTTTAATTGGAGAGGTGAAGACCGTACGAAAAAATTGGGCCAAATGGAAATGAGATGGATTTTTGAACTCAATACTCTCATTCCTTTTGGCCTTAATAATGATTTTGAGTTGTGCCATTTCTTATAAATATTTTTACATTATTATATATTTTTAGATATATTTTCATATATATTTTTTAGGTGACTGTATGAATAATTTTTAATTTTTAATTAAAACTATATATATGATCTGCACTTTATAGCAAATGGTTCTGAATTTTGAATATAGCACTTTAAATTGGTTTGGGGCACTTTAAATATGGGCACTTCTTTGGAGAAGGCAACACCTTTTTAAAAAGGGACAAATGGTTAAAAGCTAAAATTGATAAAGAAAAGTTTAAAAGTTTGATGAAAATTTATATTTATATTTGTATTAATTTCCTGTTACCAATTTTCTTTCTTCTCTTAAAACTAGGTATGGTGGAATAAGATTGAGAAATGTTTGTCAATAATATATTTAATGTTTAAATGTCCCTATGATATTTGCAATAAATATGTTTATTCAGTATAGGTAATTATAGAGTTAAGCAGAGACTGCATGGTTTTAACACACCTGTATAAGAGACACTATTATTAGGGATCCAATAGGAAGCGAAAGGATCGCTTTAAATAGTGGACTAGTGAGACAAGTCCGCATCACTGCTTTGTGTCCTGAGGAAGCTTCGGCGAAACGCGTAGACGACGCAGTGACGCACGCCTGTTACGGAGTGACGCAAAAGGGGCGGAGCACCCGGGAAGCTCAGAGAACCCCAGACCGGCACCCAGGATTTTTCAGCGGCCCGCTTTCTCTACGATATCCGTGGAGGAGACAAGAGAGAAGCCGGCTGCCTGTCAACCTTGTGCCTGAACTAAGGCAACTATACAGCGTTAGTGAGTAGCAGCTGGGACTGCATACACTCACTTATTTCTATCCTGTAAGAGGCTCATTGTTTATTTCATTTAATCCATGTATTTTTATTTATGTATTTTATACAAGATTGATTTTGATTTATTACTTTTATTGCTAGGAGTGTTTTATGTCTAGTGAAACGATTAATAAATATTTGCAATTTATCATAACTGTACTTCACTATTATATGCATTTTATCTTTTTTATATCCATCTGAGTTGAAGCTGTGCAAAGGATTCCATGGAAATGTGGATTTGATTTTGCGCTCCACCTATATAAGTATTTTGTTTGATTTTTGGTGTGGGAGTTGGGTTCACACAGGTGTGTAGCAGCTTTTTGGAATTTAACCCTGTAATAGAGGTGTTTAGCATTTTGAAGGTGATACAGAAATTTTTCACATTTCTTTCTGCCACCTTATCTGTGTATACAGAGTTATATGCTTAGCGCTTTTATACTTTAGATATATTCCTCTTCTACATACCTTCCTTCTTTTGTTTTTAATCTAACTAATCATTGCTTTACTTTTCTTTTCTCATTTATGTATCTAAAAAATGTTTTATCCCCCTTTTTTACTGACTGTGCTATTTTCTCTTCAGTGTGTGATTTGGAAGCTCTTATAACTTGCTTAGCCTCTTTCTGCCTAATCTTATAGATCATTTTGTCTCCCTCACTCTGGGTTTTTTAATAATTCCTAAATGCTAACTTTTTGTTTTTAACTATTTTGGCCACATCTGCGGAGTACCACAGTGGTTTCTTGAATTTTTGCTTTTACTGACAAGCCTAATGCAATTTTCTGTTGCCTTCAATAGTGCAACTTTTAAATAATCCCATTTTTCTTGGACTCCATTTAAATTGCTCCAGTCTGATAAGGACTCCTCTACCCATATTCTAATTTTAGAAAAGTCTGTTTTTCTAAAGTCTAAAACTTTTGTTTTTTGTGTGGTGTGACTCAGTCACTGTTCTTATATTAAACCACACTGACTGATGATCACTGGATCCTAAACTTTCACCTACAGTAATATCTGATACCAAATCTCCATTTGTTAACACTAAATCTAGTATGGCCTCTTTACGAGTTGGCTCCTCAACAACTTGTACAACTTGAAGCTCTGTAAGTTTAAGTATCTCGGATTGTAAAGTCCCATTGAGTAATAAACCATTGTTCTTGTTACCCTTGTACACATATAGCTCACAAATTAAACTGGCTGCACTCACCTGAACATGCTTAAATGGGGTGCTGCTGGGGGCCAATAAGTACAGTAAAAAAATCTGTCAGCACCAAATTAGCTGTTTAGTAGATAAGGGAGTGCGCTGGATTTTCATTTTTACTGTACTTATTGGCCCCAGCAGCACCCCATTTTTAGCATGTTCAGGTGAGTGCAGCCAGCCCCTTGGTATAAAGGGGTGTGTGTGTGTATATATGTGTATATGTATGTGTGTGTATATATATTCTTCCAGCTCCTTGGTTTTGCACCCCTCACTGTCACAGGTGTCTCATCTCATGACTCTATTTAGTCTTGTACTGTAGAGAACTGAAGATGGAAGGATTTCCCCAAGTGAGTAGCTCATTTAGTAGACAGTTGGCTGTGAGAGTAGGACCTGCCAAAGATGGTGTAAATTGACGTTGTGGCAGGCTTATGCAATGTATGATCATATAATGTAACTAAACCCCCATAATTTTTTGCCTAGATTAGGTGTTTTTAATAAAACTAGCAAAATCTGTCAGCACCAAAGTAGCTGTTTAGTAGATAAGGGAGTACGCTGGATTTTCATTTTTACAGAAAATATAAAAAACAGATATTTAGACGTCTGGGGGGGGATAAGGGAATTAAAAAATATAGTAGTGGAACACAATCTCAAACTCTTCAACAAAATTATGGAGGAATTTAACATTTCCCCCAGTGAAAAGTTCCATTATCTGCAAATTAAGAGGTTTTTCTTTTTAGCAGAGCACCTCTATAAGCGCATAAAGAAAATCTTTCCAGCGTTATCAGATTCTGGAAATGCAATATTAATGAAGGTAATTTGAT